TGGCAAAGAACACAAAAAAAAAATTCCAACAAATGTTTAGAGACAATCCAACGTTTATAAAACATTGCTCTTGTTTTCGCAAGATGTTTGATTACAATGTCGTGTTACGTTAACAAACTCCCCTGGTGATTAACTTTAAGATTAGCCAATTTATTCCGCGCGAGATTGGATTTGTTTAATAAATAATTAGTCACTTGTCTGCAACTGACGTTTTGAGCGCTGTGTTGAGGCGGGAAGAAAATATTTTGACATTCGCTGAAAAAGAACTAGACAACAGTAGCGCTTATCTGCAAGAAATTAACAAGAACCAATCATTATTTTAATGGGGTTTTATAGTTTTACACATTAAAATTTAATGCAACAACGATGTAACTTGTAAGTTTGATTTTTTTTTCTTTCTGTTGTAGGAGACAGGGGGGATTTATTAATTATACAAATTATGGCTTATTCTTTAATTTTAAGGCATCAAAGCATGCTACAACGACCAAAACTTAGCCATAGTGTTCATATAAGCCTCATCCACTCATGACTTTTGTAGTTATAACTGACTTCATTCATGACTTTTGTAGTTACGACTGACTTCACTCACGACTTTTGTAATTATAGCTGACTTCACTCATGACATTTGTAGTTATAACTGACTTCAGTCATGATATTTCCGTGATTAATTTTTTTCCACCAAACATATTTCACAAACAGTTTTTCAAAGCCAAACGTTTCACACAAATGGTAGCCAGAAAAAAATAATCCAAATTTCAGATTAATTTTCTACTTCACATCATTGGGAATTGAACGTAATAATGTCATACATGAATATTTCAGTCACTGAAATTCAATAAGCTAATTGTTTGGAGAATGCGGAGTTTCCCGTTATTTTGATGTATGCCATCAATATTTGTCTGACGTGGTATTTTGGCCACGGATGTTAATCTAATTGGTTAATCAAGGTATCGGGATTATCGCTTCGATGGAGTGACTAATTAATATGAACAAAAGGTAGGCGGGCGATACGGATTTCAATGCCAGGACAGTGACTCCGGTATTAGGAATTCTATATCAAAACAGTGACTATTGTATTAGTACTTTGATATCAAAGTGTGACTCCGGTATTAGGACTTCAATATCAAAACTGTGACTTCAGCAATATGGCTTCTATATGAATATTGTGACTCAATATCTAGGTGTGCGACTCCGGGGCAATGACGCCAATACTACTATTGTGATTTAAATAACTGAACAGTGACGCATAGACCGTGACTCCAACACTCAGTGACTCAAGGGCTGTGACTCCAACAACCTGACAATGACTCTGATACATATCTTGTGACTCCACTAACAAAATCGAAGTGCTTCTGGTGTATAACTACATCAACACCATTGTGACTCCAACACCTTAACTGACTCTGACATCATACATTACGACTGACTCGACAAAAAGTGCAAGTAAACAAAATTAAAAAAAAACATTGCACAAAAATATTTTAAAAAATTAGCCAATCGTCTCCGTTTCCTCCTGTTCGTGCTGCCGGATTAAGCGACCGGTTCCCATAATGCCACAGCCTCCACACATCACGGTCCGTTTGGCCTCGTTTTGATGACTGGCACGTGCAGAAAAATAAAATCATCAGTCCATGTTTTTATAAAAATTCTTTTTTTTTTTAATATATGAAGTTTCATTCATCGAAAGCACACGTACTTTTAGTTTACATGAGCTTGTTAACTGGTTTGGGGAAGAAATGTGGGTGGGGGGTAGGGGTAAAAGGGTCGTCTGTTAAGGACGTCACACTTTTTTGACGATTTGTACCTCCCCACTCCCATCCCATCGTCACGCGCCGTCACAAATTTGCAGCTTAATTAAGACTTTTAATTTAGGTTAATTAAGCTTTACGTCGTGTCCTAATCCGCATGGCTATGAAGGGCACCCGACTCTCGTTATGGAAATTAAAGGCGGCTGGACATCGAACTGACCACAGTTCGTATGTCGAGGTCACGGAAACAGGAGAGCTCTAATGCTTCTGCCCTGTTGACCATTCGATTCGAAAGGGTGGCTCTACGGTTTAACCTAAGGGTTGGGATAGGCTTAAGATTAGTAGCTATAACGACACGGATTAGGATTGTGACTATGGATTACCTGGGCCGGGGAATGTTTAGGGGCTACGAAAGTTAGAAAACGAATTACAGAGAACATAAATTTAAAAAAAAAAACTATAATTTTTTTCGACTTCTTCGTTCTTAACTTTAGTTCTAGAATGGATCCCCTCCAAAACAATTAAGTGTACGTGTCAACCAAGAACAAACTACAAGGCAGCATTTGTTTGATTTTGGAGACTCTTTGGTTTAGTAATCATGAGCTTTACCGGCTCGACCACGCCGCCCCCCTATTTTTTTCGACTAAAACAATGAATTTTTCCTGCTTGAAAGCAATTACCTTAGACATTGCGGTATAAACATTGCATGTTTTAGGGTACGATGGTCATTGCCACAGTTGCACTTTGAGCTAACCAATGTAAAAAAAATTGCCTACGGCATAGGAATGCAAAAAGTGCCTACGGCATACGAATGCAAAAATTGCCTACGGCATACGAAGACCTTCAAACGGCCCAATGGATCACTGCTATGAAGAAACTACTAAACTAAATCATATGATCTTATAAAGAAAAAAAAAGACGAAAAAAAAAGTCACCGCTGAAGGATGCCGGCCATATTGAACTTGTCCCGCGATTTGGTTTCCGGGCAAAGGGACAGTGGACGAACTACGTCATTAAGGGGCAGGGAATTACGGATGAAAAATGAATCGGCAGACATGTATAGGAATCCGAAGCTATGTCACCGCCATGCTGGTTTTCTGAGATCGATAATTTGCTATCGATCTTCCAGTGTGGCAAGTCGAGTGGGTAGGTCTGCCTTCGCTGCATGGCCAGACAGGGGAACAGTGAACGGGCTCATAACTAGTACAGGAAACCGGCTTGATTTATTTTCCTTCGAAGACGTCTCTCCATCGGAACTCAATGGAGAAGCGGGGTCCGACAGATGATTTATTAGGTTTCGTTTTCGAATTTGTTTTTAAATATTTGAAGATCTTTTCTTTTATTGTTTTAATCCTGATTTCTCGAACAATTTTTTTTTGTGGGGGGAGGGGGGAGTAAAATTAAGTCTACTGGCGATAGTGGCCAAGAAAAATAACTTTAAAGAAACCTACAATCAGAATGTGAGAAATTTGTTTTATTCGATAATTATAACAGGATAATTACTTCGGTTTATATGTATATGTATGTCAACTAGAAAACGATTTTTTTTCTCTTATATATGAACCGGATTCGAACCACCTAGACGGAGGCTCAAGAGCCTCCCCCCAATCCCCAGACAAAAAGTCTGAAAGAAACACTTGATACAACTAGTATAATGTGACAACTAGGATAGTATGACAACTAGGATAGTGACAACTGTGATAGTGACAACTAGGAAAATTTGACGATAAGGATAGTGTGAACACACGGATGTGGTAACTAGTATAGTATGACAACTAGGATAATGTGACAACTAGTATAATTTGACAATAAGGATAGTGTGACAACTACGATGAGGTAACTAGGATAGTATGACAACTAGGATAATGTGACAACTATGACAGTGTGCCAACTAAGTGTAGGAATCTAACGTTATCATCTCAGACTATTTTTAAAAAGGAAGTCTGGATAGATCAAGTTATTTGTTACCTAAAGCCTTACACTGATTGTTTACATTGATTGTTTACAATTGAATACAATAGGCCATTGGCCCACCGACCAGACAACTGCAGTTCTACCCCACACCGTGTACACACCCCACTCACACACCCCACTCACACACCCTACTCACACACCCTACTCACACACCCCACTCACACGCACACTCTCACACACAGCCACCACGCACCATTAATTCTTCTCGTGCCACAAGGTAGTCCTTAATTGCAGCAATTAATTATTTAAAACACTCAAGAAGATTTTCCCAACCACTATGTACATTACGCTTAGGTTTTTTTTTAATTAGTTTCGAAATAGATTTACCATGTGGCGTCACAAGGTCGGGTGTCACCCGGAGAGATGACTGAGGGTGTCACCCCACCTCTCCAATTATTTTGCTTTTTTTCGGTTAGGTGTCACCCCTAATATTTTAATAATTTAGAGAGAAAAAAACATTTTGAGTGCAATTTTTACTCTATTTAGTTGTTCCCCCCTCCCCCACACACACATCACATACTCGTTTTTCATGCTTCTAGATCTACTATCGAGAGTAAACGGGAAAAAAAAACAAAGGAAGTTGAAAACGAAGTTTTATTTTGCAGAATAAAGATTTTCTTTTTAAGTTTATCGAGGGAAAATAATTTTAAATAATTTGGGTCTTGGAGTGTGATTGTGTAAGACAGATTAATGGAATTATTTTTGTTTCCTTGAAATTTGATTAATGACTTGAAATGTTGTTTTGATAAAATTAAAATGATTAAAAGGTTGGAAATTTTTTTTTTTTTTCAAACGCGATGTCCCCTCATAACTTCTCGGACCGGCTCGTCCAGCGGATGTAGGTCAGCGCGCGGGGCCATCCGGCGGGAAGGGCGGGGAGGATCCGCGGCGAGACACGAGCCGCGCGCGGTAAGTGCGGGCCAGACGTGTCAACACGCCCAAAAACCAAACGGGGAGACCGGGTGGGGCGGGCCGGCTGACATCACAGTGATAACACCGCGGCCGTGGAAATCGTAACTTGTCGTGAGGGGGAGAAGAAAACGTGTTCGATTTATTTTTAGACTCACCAGCTAGTTCCAGTTCGATAGGAAAGAGGGGAGAGAAAAAAAAATTCTTTAAAATCCATCTCGGGGATGTAGTCATTCAAGCAATGCGACAAACCCGACACTGGATTGTCAAAGGCGGCCATAGGACTCCTAGAATCTCGAGGAATGTTGTCAGAAAATTTCAAAGGAGAGCGAGAGTAATATTCTTTCTTTAGCCTCCTCAGCTGTTTATTGTAAGGGGACGTCACTCCCGTTTCTTTTTTTTTTCTTCGCTAGATATGTGAGTACACGGCCCCCTCCGATTGCACAACTGACTCACAGCGTCAATCCGGTCATAACGCACCCGGAGACACGGATTCGCTGTGGTGGTGTTTTCATCAAATGTAAACAATCGTCGTCGGCGCATTCTCGACTCGCTTACCTCCAGCCATCGGCATCCGTCTCGTGAACTGATTCACAACACGAGTCATCTCTGTGTTGACGCGCTTGTGTTTATGAACCCAGTGTCATAAACAACACAGGGACTGTATTCAAGGACTAGCAGTCTCGTGATCCATTCGCAGACGACATTGGAAGGCGGGTGGGGACACTTGTGATTTCGGGAAACGGAAGTGATTTTCACGGGAAACAAACAAGTAGGTCAATAAGATTATTTACTAGACTAGATCTATGTCATGTCTGAAAAAAAACAATACAACGAATCTCGGCGTTTTACGATCACACGTTTAAACATAACTCGTGGTGTCTAACCACCTGTTGGTATCACCACATGTTGGTATCACCACATGTTCACATCCGTGATTTATTTGCAGTGACCACCGAGTACGATTCAGTTTGATGGTTTAAATTAAAAAATATTGATTCCCTTCTCCCTATAACAACAGCTCACGTGTACCGATAGCGGCATTTGTACTACTCACAGCAATCTACATCTTCTACCGTTAACCATACATGTACCACGCTGCAATATGTTACACCGTTAACCCTATAAATACGTCATACAGCAATGTTATTTCTTCTACTGTTAACCCTGTATGTACTATAGAGCAATCTTAAATCTACTATTAACCCTATATATACAATATAGCAGTGCCTTATCCTCTATTGTTAACCCTATATGTACCTCAGACAGCAATGTTACATGATCTACCGCCCTATATGTACCATAGAGCAGTGTTATATTCTACCGTTAACCCTATATGTCCCACACACAGCCATGTTATATCTTTAAACATCAACAACATAAATTATACACGAAAAGCATGAATTTATTTTTAACAATATGAGATAAACATATACATTTTCTTATATCTAAAACACCTGCGCCAATACACACACACACATATATATATATATATATATATATATATATATATATATATATATATATATATATATATATATATATATATATATACATACACACATATTATGCATCTTGAACCAAACCCCCATATTTTTTTTAAAGTGAGTTTTAATAATAAAATACGAACCCAATGTGAACATCTTAAAAACTTTAAAACCATTAAAATGAATAAAAGCATTGTAAAACAGAATGTGCCACTTCATATGTGTTCATTCACTCCATTTTTATCAAATACAAACATGTTTAGAACTTTAAAACATTAACCCTACATATTTACACTCTATGAACCTTAACTCTTTGTGTACTGCATCAAATTTTATATCCGACTGCCGATAAACATTTCCGAGTTTAATCAACAAATACATAATTACAAAATTACATTTTAAAAACACACGCCTTTATCTCAATGAGACGTGAGACTCGAGAATACTACACGATTATACAACATAAATCGTTAACTCTTTGTGTACCAAGCCAATGTTTACACAAACCATCAAATAATATTTAAACGATTAACCCCATGTTTGCCACATTAATATTACAATAGCCATAAACTACCCACACTATTAACCCTATATTTACCACCAAGAACTACCCATGTGTGATAACCTATGTGCACCACAAAGCATTAACCCTATACGCACCAACGTCCCGGTGCTCACTAAACATTTCAACTCCGCTCACCATTAACCCTATATTTACCACAAAGCATTAACCCTACATGCACCACGTGAATGTTTACGTAAACACTCACTCCATCGCGGTAACTCACCAAACATTTAAAATGACATTAACCGTTCGCGCGCAGACTGTAATCCATTTGTTTATTGATAAAAATCAATATTTCCTCTGCAAAACTCCTCAATTTTTTTTCCACGCACGTGCAAGAAATCGTAAACAAAACGCTAAACGTTGAGAGTGAGTAGAATTTTTTTTTAACAACGTGAGTTGTGTGTTTTGCTCAGTGACTAAGGGGAAAAAATAATCGAAAGGCAAAGGCAAGCTAAAACGGCGTGTGACGTGTTCGATCTACAGTAATCAAAGATCTGACACATTCCAAGTTTGCATTACAGCACATAGCGGGTTCCTTTCTTAGCCAACCAGAGACAGGAAAGTTTATACACAACTTCATACTGCTTGGACAGTCGACAATGGTACCCATCCTTGAAAACTTTGATTTCTAAGTTGTGTGTTATAATCATCTCAAATTCAGCCCCAATATCCTAAATCGAATCAATACATTATCAAAGGCAAAAAAACGAAAATTTCATATATATATATATATATATATATATATATATATATATATATATATATATATATATATATATATATATATATATAGTGGTGTACGTGTAATAAAGTTTATGTAGAGGACGCTAACTCTCCAGAACCTGGGGTTTCATAGTGTTTTTTTTTTTTTTTGGAGTTATGCTAAACGTAGGCTTTTTAAATACCACCGCAATCATGTGCCAATTAGTAGTAATGGTCGGCATTTATCGATACCTCACTTCCTCGATCATGCGGCAAATATCGATACTACTGTCTTAATCACTCGGCAAATACCGATACCGTACTGTCTTAATGACTCTGCCAATATCGATACCGCTCTTCTTCAATCATTCGATATATTTATACACCGTACTAAAACTGTACCCATACATACAAACTCATCCAGACAAACATTACATTGTTTACCATTGTTTACCACATACTCGATACACTATATATTCGGACAAAATATTATCAATATTTATTGATTCCCACGTGAAGATTTATTGATTATTGATTATTACGTGAACCAAATCTTTTCAAATTGAATCTAAAACTTTTGTTTTAATCTAATACAACCAAACCATTACATAATATCGTTGCAGTTGCTGTTCAATGCGGACAATCACCAAAAAAAAAACAATGGTCTATGTTCCGCTTCCCCCCCCCCTCCACCCACTCCTCCATCGATTGAAACGAATTTATCTTTTCTTGATAATCATCTCCCCATGCTTCTTTCTTCTCCCCCCCCCCCCCCACCCTTTGTATCGGTGACGAGAATTGAACGTGATTTCTGTTTACCAACTTACCGCCGGCGGATATGACGTCACAATATCAGCCGCTAACGTTGGGACATTAATATCTCGCCTGTTGCCCTAGCAGCGAGTTTGTAGTTGTTTATGAAGCCATTTTATGGTTAATCTAATCTCTGGTTAAATTTAATTAATGAGCTGAAATGAGAAATAGATTTAAGTCCTATTAATTCATACCAACTACTTTTGTTTTACTTTTTTCGCCCTTAATAAGCAGCTCTTAAGCTTACAGAAACTAAGCTGTATATAAAATCTTAAAGAACCGCAAGTGGCCCTCGTGCTCATCTGTCCTTCCCAATTTAGTTAACACACCAATATGACATGGTCCTAGCTTATATAATTTTAAATTACATTTCCATAAAAGTAAAAAAAAAGTAAAGAATCCGCTTTATACTTAGCAAATCATTGGGCAGATGAACTATAGTTTATATTTCTTGACCTCGGCATATGAAGAAAAAAAAATTCATAAAAAACGTTTTAATAACAAGCTTTTATATAATAATGCACTAAAAAGTAGAAAATAAATTATAGACTACTATTTAAATAACTATAAAGAAAAGCGTGGGTCACTTTAGTATCTATTGGATACCTTTACTAATGTTAAGGAAGACACCCACGCTTTTCTTTATAGTTATTTAAATAGTAGTCTATAATTTATTTTCTACTTTTTAGTGTATTATTACATAAAAGCTTGTTATTAAAACGTTTTTTATGAATTTTTTTTTCAGTACTTTACATGTTTTATTTAAAATAGAGTTACATGACTAAAAACCATTGCGCGCCTACTGAACGTGACGGCGCAGCTATTGAACGTACCTGTGTGGCGAAGCTATTGAACGTGATGACGCGTGTGGTGTGGTAGGCTAGACATGTCTACTAATTCGGTCCAAATTTTAATTAATTCATAAAAAATTAATTAGGCATCCTATTAAGTCAAATTTAGTTTCAGATTGCATTGTCTTCATGTCTTGACCCACGTGTCAAATGTGAATCGTATCGGTCAAGCAGAAGCGTCCGAATTTTCACTCCTGCGTTTCGATCTAGACTGACGACAGACTGTCGACAGAGGAAGTGAGTTAAATAAAAGCTTGTATAAAAAAATTCATAAAAAACGTTTTAATAACAAGCTTTTATGTAATGATGCACTAAAAAGTAGAAAATAAATTATAGACTACTATTTAAATAACTATAAAGAAAAGCGTGGGTCACTTTAGTATCTATTGGATACCTTTACTAATGTTAAGGAAGACACCCACGCTTTTCTTTATAGTTATTTAAATAGTAGTCTATAATTTATTTTCTACTTTTTAGTGCATCATTACATAAAAGCTTGTTATTAAAACGTTTTTTATGAATTTTTTTTTCAGTACTTTACATGTTTTATTTACAATAGAGTTACATGACTAAAAACCATTGCGCGCCTACTGAACATCACGTTCAGTAGGCGCGCAATGGTTTTTGAACGCAGCCATTACGTGATGGCGCAGCTATTGAAGGTGATGATGCGTGTGGTGTGGTTGGCTAGACATGCCTACTAATTCGGTCCAAATTTTAATTAATTCATAAAAAATTAATTAGGCATCCAATTAAGTCAAATTTAGTTTCAGATTGCATTGTCTTCATGTCTTGACCCACGTGCCAACTGTGAATCGTATCGGTCAAGTAGAACTGTCCGAATTTTCACTCCTGCGTTTCCGTCTAGACTGACGACAGAGGAAGTGAGTTAAATAAAAGCTTGTAAAAATGGGATCCGCACTATGCCCAGCTACCATTACTTTCCCTGACATGAGTTAGGTACCCACCAGCGGCCAATGTGAAAAAAGGCCTTTGTGCCTACAATTGTAACCGTTGTTTGAATAAATTTGAATAAATTTGAATTTGAAATTTGAGTGGACTCAAGGACGTTATAATGACTTGGATTCGGATTCGAACTCGAGACTTTCGGGTTCGAGTTGAGTTCTACCGCTTAGACAGCGCGCTCATAACATTTCCACACCAGTTGTGTGCTGTATGTGTACTCGGAGGGGGGAGGGGGCTAGGCAGGTCCCTTAAGATACTCCAGCAATACAAAATACAAAATTTCGACACAGTTGTATGTAACGTCAACTGCGGGTTCTGAACCCATGTCGTCATTGAAAAATGTCTTTTCAAATTTATATTAGAGCTCCCCCAGACCTCTAGCTGA